CTCCAGGCAGCACCCAGCGAGTCTTGCCTGCCCCGCTAAACCAGCCCAAAGCCCCCCACCGCAGCGACGACGGGGGGACCCTTGCAAAGCAGCTGGGGATGGTATTTCAGCCCTCTCCCACTGCGCCGGGGCCTGCCACTGGGTCACCCCCTGCCATCATCCCCCCTTGACAACGTCGCTGTGGGGCTCAGCTCCAGATGGAGTCACCCTGCCGGCCGCAGTGCAGGCAGGAGAGGACCTGAGCTGGGCAGGGGACACATGGAGAGGGCAAGAAGGGCCTGGCAGCTCTCAAAGGTAGCGCCGACCTTTGCCAGCTCTTCCTGAGCTGCGAGGAGGTTATTGGACAGTGGAGACGCTGGGAGGAACACATGGCACCTTGAAGAACGGAGGCAGCACGTGTTGGATAGCGCGGACATGCTGATGTGGGGGTTACGCATCTGCTGGCACAAACTGGCGGGAACTGGGTGATCAGTGTGGAAGGGAGCTTTGCTCTCCTTGTCCGCCAAAGCAACTAGAGTCATTTCTTGCGCAGCCATCTGGCCCCCTTGCTGCAAGGACGCAGCTCGTGGCTTTGCAGCCCGGCCGCTCCGTGCCCAACCTCACGCTGCTTCCAGGGGACGCCCAGCCCTTTCCGCATGTAAAGAAGTGACAGGCAGAAATGGCAAAGCCCCGGGCTTGGATTCCCCCTTCCCATCAGGCTTGCGCGCAGGTGGCAATGGTGTCCCTGGGCGGTGCCTTCACGCCAGCCCTGCCACAGTCCTGCCCCGGGATCTACCTTGCATTCACCTGCAGCAACCTTGGCGTCTGCCTGGAGCCCTGGTGAACGTGGCCTGCTCCTTTAGTGCCAACTAGCTGAGGGCAGCAGCTTTTGGGAGGGCTCAAACCTCCCAAAAATCACTGGCTGTGCAAAGATCTAGACGGCACGTTTGTAAGCCTCTGGCTCATGGGACACAGTCACGGTGGCCTTGGAGACCTCCTGAGCTTTAGCCACAAGACCACATCCCTGGGCCGGTTCGGGAACCCTGCTCTGCCCGTGTGCCCCTGCTCGGTGGGCATCCCAGCCGACGCTCGCGTGAAGCTGCGCGCGGGCAGAGCGCAGGCAGCGCCGCGCTCACCTGTAGTTGGTGCTTTTGATAGGGGCCCACGTGTAGGTCCTGAACACCTCGTCGATGTATTGCTGCAGATCGGAGAGAGCACGTGAGGCAGGGCTTCACGGGAGCCGAGGAGCAGCCCAGGGTGCCGCTGGGGTGATAGGCCAGGACCCGGACCCTGCCGGCGGCGGACCTCAGCCCCAAGCCTGGCCGGCTTCCCCCTTTTCTTCCCCTCCACGGGGGACTCTGCAACTCTTTACCTCATCCAGGGACTTGATGAGGGTCTTGATGAATCTCTGCCCGTCGTTCCCATCAATCATGCTTCTCCGGATCTAGGGGACACAAAGGAGGAGACTGAGGGCTGATGGATGTCTCTCCACGCACCAGCGTGGCTGGCCGCCGAGCCCGGCCCTGCACCCCGC